CCAAAAAAAAAAAAAAGGTTGATTATGGCTTAAATTAACACTTATGGCCATTACCCTACCCCTGAATTCACATGATCTCAGTTTGGGCAACCGACTCACATTTATGACTGGTTGCAGCATCCTGCAGCCAGGGGTCCTTGGTGCTGTCTGAGCTTGGTTGTTTTCTTGCAGATGTTTCATTACCCAAAACAACAGCAACAGCACTGATGATGCTACTAGCTTGGGTAACGAAATGTCTGCAAGAAAACAAACAAGTTCAAAATGTACCCGGGAGCTACAAATTTTCTCCTTAACAGTATCCCCCAGTCTCTTGATTATGATTTGCAAGCTTAAGTAGGATTCACACTTACGACCATGTGACTTGGCTTACCTACTGCATTAAAAACGGTCGCAAAATCGGATCCTGTCTTGCAATGATTTACAAGTGCAATGCTCTCTGATGGAAATTCAAGACCCAATTGTGATTGTCATTTGAGGACGACCTGTAATGCTCCGATTAAGAGGAAAAGAGGTGGGACAATCCCTAACAAAATCATAATAAAACGTTTTGCCTTTTTTGTAACCTAAAAAAGTGATCCAGGGACCTCCTGGTTAGGTGGGAGAACAGCCGGGGAAGGAAGGCTTTCCCTTAAAGAGTCAGGAAAGAAGCTGAAGCCATTCCGAGCCTCTGCTACTTATAAGTCCTGCTGGGAAGCCTCCTAATTAATTTTTTTTCCCCTGCCCCATTTTTCTCTCTTCAGAGCTGCAATCAGCCGGGACCCCTTCTACGAGATGCTTGCTGCACGCAAGAAGAAGGTTTCCTCCACCAAGCGGCATTAGTCCCCTCACCTAACTCTGCGGTGGTGACCTTGGCAGGGGATGCCTCTCCATCTCCGGAGGCTGGGGGAACGAGAGGCTGCCCTAGATCGCCTGCTCTCTGTTGCTGCCTTTAGGAGACCAGCTTCAGCTTTTGCTATTCTTTTCCTGTTTGGGAGCAGGAAGAAGAAGGGGAGGGGCCACTAAGTGGGTGGCAGCCACCAACTCACTAACTTCTTTCTTAGGAAGAATGCCAGCTTCTTATCTTGGCAACCTGAATCCCACCTGCATCTTCTGCAGTCCAGAAGAGAGAAAGTGGTTGGAGTCTTTGGGGCTATCCTAGTTGATTTGTTCATTGTGTGAGCTAATGGAGAGGTAGAGCGCATCACGCAGTATGCACCCCTAAGGGGATGTAACTCTTATTTTAATTTGCAGTTGCTACTCTCTAAAGCCCAAGCACCAGGAGTGGACCATGGACCTTTAAAGGTATACATGGATCTAGAGAGCAGACATGTTAGCTTTGAAGCCTAGAGATTCCAGAGACACCTCCTGTTGCCTTTATTTTTTTTATTTGTTAGTCGAGCAAGATTGGTGGCTTCCGTTCCCAAAGCGATTCAGCCATGTGGTCTGTTAGGCATCATTAGCTGGGATCCTCTTTCACCTTTTTTAATAATTAACCCTAAGGAGTATGGAGCAATCAAAGATGTCTGCTCCAACGCCTGGATTAGGGGCCTAGGGCAAGGCTGCCAACCTCCAGGATTTCCACTGCCCTCGTTCTAGAGGGCGCCTACTGTAGGTGGCTCTTGTTATTGCTGGGAGCCAGTTCACAGGCTTGCAGAAGTGGGGCAGGCAGATTGTGTGATTAGTGTTGATGCTTTGCAGGAAGATTTGTTTTTTTTGCCAACAATTTGTGGGGAGTGCCCCACTCAACTGCTGGCTGGGAAATCTCCACCCTCTGTTTTATTTAGCGTTGGAATAATGGCTCAGAATAGCGGAGTTTCAGGAAGAAGGGAATGGGGGAGGGAAACTTCTGATAATAAGGAAGGGTAAAGCACACACACACACACACACACACGGAGTGTTGTCTTTCTGACCAGTCCTGTTGCAGTTCTTTTTTGGCAGGGATGGGGCCCAGGTGAGTTCATCTGAGGTTGCCCTGGGCCAGTGGAAGCGGTAGCCCTTGACCCTGAGTGAAGCACAAGTAAGCAGTTGGAGATTAGGGATTTGGAGCGGGGTGGCTTTGCCAGCTAATGTTTGCAACTAGGTTTGTAGGGGTGGGGAGGAGAGCCACAAAGAAGACTGCCTTCCTTTGCAAAGTTTTGGGGGAACTCTGGATATACCTCCCTCAGTTCTCTCCAAGCCTCTAAACCCATCTCTCTATCAGTCTATTTATCCGAGATGTAGATACTCTCTGTACAGATTTCTTTCTCCTTGAAATTATTTTGTATTTGTTTTAAAAGATTGTTTTTATGAAACACGACAGGATTCCTGCCTATTGCTGTAGCACAAGGGGAAAATGGGGAGAGTGAAAGCTATTACAGTTACAGTTTTTGGTTTTGAATCTGTTTTTCAGGGCTGGTTTGGAACTTTCATTTCCCACAACTTTGTGATTTAGCACAGAGCACCTGCAGCAAATAAACATTGAACTCGCATTTGGCTCACATTCATCTTTGTCTGCTTGTGTTCCTCTGCCAACAGTTAAGCAAATTTGGTGTTCTGAGGATTGTCTTGCACTAAAAAAAAAAGAGGGGAAAAAAAAAAGAATCCGGCTCTTGCTGGTTAGGGGCTAGATAATTTGAGCAACCTCTTTGAATTTGCAAACTCAAAATAGATACAGATACAGATAGAGTTGGAAGGGACCTTATAGGTCATCTAGTCCAACCCCCCCGCCCAAGCAGGAGACCCTACACCATTTCTGACAGATGGCAATCCAATCTCTTCTTTAAAATCTCAAGTGATGGCACTTCCACAACTTCCAAGGGCAAGCTGTTCCATTGGTTGATTGTTCTCACTGTCAGAAAGTTTCTCCTTATTTCCAGGTTAAATCTCTCCTTGTTCAGTTTCCATCCATTATTCCTTGTCTGGCCTACAGGTGCTTTAGAAAATAGCTTGATCCCTTCCTCCCTGTGGCAGCCCCTCAAATATTGGAAGACCGCTATCATGTCTCCCCTGGTCCTTCTCTTCACTAGACTAGCCAAGCTCAGTTCCTGCAACCGTTCTTCATATATTTTAGCCTCCAGTCCCCTAATCATCCTGGTTGCTCTTCTCTGTACTTTTTCTAGAGTCTCAACATTTTTTTTATAATGTGGTGACTAAAACTGGATGCAGTACTCTAAGTGTGGTCTTACTAAGGCTTTATAGAGTGGTATTAGTACTTCCCTTGATCTTGACTGTATCCCTCTGTTAATACAACTTAGGATTGCATTAGCTTTTTTGGCGGCTGCTGCACACTGCTGGCTCATATTTAGCTGGTTATCCACTAAGACTCCAAGATCCCTCTCACAGTTACTGCTATTGAGCCTGGTTTCATCTAGTCTATATGTGTCCTTTTGGTTTTTCTTGCCTAAGTGTAGGACTTTACTTTTCTCTATGTTGAATTTCATTTTATTAGATATGGCCCAGTGTTCTAGTCTGTCAAGATCCATCTGGATCTTGAGCCTATCTTCTTGGGTGTTAGCTATTCCTGCCAGCTTAGTATCAACTGCAAATTTGGTAAGTTCCCCTTCTATTCCCTCATCTACGTCATTAATGAAGATATTGAAGAGGAGTACTGGGCCTAAGATGGAACCTTGTGGCACCCCATTGCTTACTTCCCTCCATGTAGACTTAGACCCATTAAGGACTACTCGTTGAGTACGGTTTGCCAGCCAGTTGCGAGTCCATCTAGTGGTGGTGCTATCTATTCCACTTTTTTCTAGCTTACTAAGAAGTAGGTTGTGGTCTACTTTATCGAATGCCTTGCTGAAATCTAAATATATTATGTCCACAGTATTTTGCTGGTCTACTAATTTAGTCACTGTGTTGAAGAATGAAATAAGATTGGTTTGGCATGATCTGTTTTTAATAAACCCATCTTATAGCTGGGTAAACAGGGATAATGAGATTGAATTAATTTGGAATCCCAGCCGCAATTGTTTTTGCATGAGGTTATTGCCAGCCAATCCTAGGTTTGCCTGTTGTTGGGGGAAAATAGTACCTTGAGGTGGGTCTAAACAATTCTTAATGGCTTTGGAGGATGTTGACAGGATGAATTGGAGTCCATTGTTGGACATAACTCTTCCTGATTTGCACCTTATACTGAGAGATATCTATTTTCTTTAAATAATTACGTAAGATTAAAAATATGGTATACCCACTGATACAGAAATGATGAGTTTTTCAACATGTGAAGACTTGTCTGATGATGGGATTTATATATTGCTTGCCATCTTGTATATAAAAACTAAGATAATTGTTGAAGTCTTAAAACATTTCAGTACTACTCTATGTAATTTAACTAAAATAAAAGAGTTGCAAGATGGAGGCAGGAAGTTTCACACTCAGCCAAGAAAATAAAATAACCAGGTCCCTTTAGAGCTAACAAATGCAGTGTTTATCCTTGAAGCAGGCAAACAGGAAACTAATGTGCTAGCTAGACCATCTTTGGGTTAATTGGAAATAAATGAGCAAGAGTTTCTGACTCCCAAGCATTTCACAACAGCCCACTAAATTAGGATGCTGAAATTAAGAAAGTGGGGAAGAGTAGAAAGGTAGTTAGGAACGGATGTTTGTATAGAAAATCTTTAAGTTGGCACATCCTGTTTCCATATTCAAAATTTTACTTGCTGACCCCTTTTGGGTTGTAGAGATGAAAAAAGTAGATTTCACCAGCCTAAGGCAGAAGGCATGGACTTTCGGCTGGGGCACCAGGGAGAGCAGGCTGCCCAATTTGCCTGCCAGAACATTGCAGCTAAGAGGCGGTTGAGGATGCTTTTGCATGCAGATGTGACCTAATCTTAAATTAAGCCCACCCTGGATGCCTTTCAAAATAGATGCTGAAATGAGATGAGCATTTAGAGCAGCTGAAGTTCTATAGGGAATCAGGCAAAGGACTCAGCAATGCTGTCTGGGAATGCTAGGTGTCTTAGTCAAACACATCTATTGAACACATGGTTGGGTTCTAAAGAATAAATTGTGAAGCATTACAGTATTGTAATCTACCTAGAACAGGGGTGTCAAACACAAGGCCCGTGGACTGGATCTGGCCCACAATGTAGTCTGATCTGGCCCGTGGGGCTGTCCTGGAAAATGTAAGGGGCTAGTCCGCATCGCTTCATCCCGGTCTACCCAAAGCGAAGAGTAAACATGCCAGCAGTTCGGGAACTGGCATCAAGCTGGCCACACCCACCCAGTTGGCCACGCCCAGTGAGTGGCGTCAAGATGGCCATGCCCAACCAGTCAGCCACACCTGGTCCCCCAAGGTCAATCACAGCCCTGATGTGGCCTTCAATGAAATTGAGTTTGATAGAAAGTTGAGTAGCCAATGCTATACCATTTGGCATGCAGGCGTTGGCCAGGAATGAAATCCCAGACACTGACTCTGTTTAGTATCGCTAAGCAGACCTACCAGAACGAACAGGTCTATTGTGTGGTTTTGGGAGTGATTTTTTTTTTTACTCTTCACCAAAACCCAAACCTCTCATTCATTGCCTATGATGCATACAAAGGTGTGTGAATCACTACAGCCCTATTTCAGGTTTCTCCTGCAAGCACGCAGGTAAATTACATTCACTTTATTATTTCCACTGGCAAAATGGAAAAGAAATGTCTGGTGGTGATTAGCTCCCTGTTACCCTCACTGCCAGTCAGAACTTGAAGCTGCTTAGTTTTGTAGCTACCTGATTCAAGTTACAGGCCTCTGTTTATTAAAGACACTCAGGAAGTGAGCGTGTGGGTGTATTGTGTGTATTTCCTCAAATGTACTTTTTGAAACTCATGCTGCCTGGAGATGGCAGCAAAGTGTCACTCTACTATTTCAGACCCTGTTTAAAATGAGAATTGATTACCTGGAATTCAGTATTTTTGTGGAATGGCCCTTAGTATTCACAAATCATGTCTAGAAAGGGTAGTTTGACCACTGGGGCAGGGTGAGTATTGTGTTGATTCATGGGGTACAGCACCTCACTCGATACCTACATGTATAGGTTCTTCTGTATACGAAAAGCTCTTTTCCTTCAGATCATAGAATCAGGGCTGGAAGGGGGACCTTGAAGGTCTACCAATCCAACCCCCTGCCCAAGGCAGGAATTCCTGTACCCTCCCATACAAATGGGTGTCTAATCTTTTCTTGAAAACTTCCAGGTTTCCACCCTTCCTCGTCTCCACAAAAAATTAATAACTTTCTATTTCTGTGCTCGTTATGGTGGCAAGCATCCCCTGCCTACCAAATTCTTAATAGCAATAGCACTTAGACTTATATACCGCTTTATAGTGCTTTACAGCCCTCAAAGCGGTTTTAATGTTGGCATGGCATCCGTTTTGTTTATCTAATAGCCTAACATCCTGGGAATACAAGAAGAGATTATGTGAACCCCTTTTGATGAACGCAAGATTACCCACCAAAGCAAAAACAAGTAAATAAATGCATGATTTCAGAAGTGATCTTTTTTCCCACCCCTCACCAAAACTCCGAAGGATCCATTGGAACTTTCCACAAGGGCAAGTCCTTCAGTGATGACCATGTTTGATCACCAGGGGGCCCCCTTGTTTCAGATCCAGAGCTGGTTTGACCTGCAATAACAAACTTCTAAGTAAATCAACATTGAGCGGATTGTGTGAATGTCTGACTGCAGCTGCAAAGCTTATCAACTGGCACAATGAAAACTCAAGAAGATGGAGCAGACAGTTTATTATAAGTAACTTGCAAGGGAAGAATTAAAGTTGGGATGGTATCCAGGAAACGTCAGAGACTTCATGCTATTATGTCTCTGTAAAGTGTTCAGGCTGTCTTATCTCCTCCCCCAACAAGTTTGGGGATATAGCTCCTTGTAAAGATAAAAGTGCTATAACCCGTTTTTATATTTTTATTTGAGATTCTTGCATCTGCCGGCTTTCATCTGAAGGAGAATAGTTAGAATGATGATAGATTTCTGTCATCTGGAAACTAAAAACATCTGCCACCTTTAACTGTTTGCAGGTGCAATATGTTGGTGGAGGTACTAACTACTAAATGGATGGCATTTACTAACTAGTGGTGGCACCAATACATTGGACAACTCTTTTAGGATAACCTGTTGATAAATGCAAATGCATTCTGAAGATTGTTGGGAGTATTCCTGAGTCTGTTTTTCTCCAACTGCTCTTAAATGTGATTTAAGAATTAATGCTACACACTTCCTCTGTATATAAAACGTGACATGTTTATCACAGTTCCTCTGTGATATATAACAAAGGAAATGGGTGCCTCAATTCTGCCCCGTTCTCAAAGATTCTTCACACACAGCTAGAGATCAACCCAACCTTTTTTCTTCCAGATTGCCAAACATTTTGCAGAACCTCAAACCCTTTGTCACCCCAAACATATATTAAATATACATTAATTCCAATTAGACAGGTGTGATGCAGAGTACGATTTTATTAAGAGTGCGGAGAAGCCATAACCAAAAAATAATAATTTGAAGGCAACTATATCTACTCATTAATGTTTGTTACCACTATAATTCACAGACAATTCCTTGAAAATAGCTTGCTTTATTTATTGCAAAATATGTGAGTCAGACCACCTATGCTAAAGATGGGGAAGCCATGTCCTAGAGATTGCTGAAGATTACTGACCCAGCAGTATCTGAAAGGACACGCTGCCCTATTGCCTCTTCTAAGTTATTCCAGCAATCGGATGGCTCCCCCTTTTCTGAGTCTTATTGATCATTCAAAAGCATCTTCCATTTTAGTTGAACCTTCTCAGACCAGTTTGCTGTAGCACTCTTTGACGCAGTCCTTGCATGGAAAAGTTTCTGGAATTATGTGAAGTTCAGATGTTATTATTAATTTTTTGCTGGAATCCTCAAAGCCGGAATATGTAGCCTGTAATGGAATCATATCCTTTTAAAGCCCTGCTTCAAAGGTGCAAAAGAATGCTGTGCCAAACCATTCCTTATCCTCCAATTTACATTTCTCATGAAGATAGCAAGGAGGCATTAAAGGGCATAGCTGGGCAGCTATATTAACAAGCGGTCTGTCCATTTTTGAGTTAGTAGGGAAGGATGCCCTATGCTCTTCTGGTTGGAAAGTAGTACCGGCCTTACAGATTTATCGCAGCACAAATTAAGCAAATTGATTTTTGCACTGAGTTATTACGTTCCAGGTAACTTTATTTATTTGAATCCTGCCTTTATTATTTATACAAATAACTCAAGGTGGTGAACATATCCTATGCACTTTCCTCTTATTTGTGCCACAAGAACAACTCTGCGAGATGGTTTGCACGGAGAATGACTGGCCCAATGTCACTCAGTTGGCTTTCATGGCTAAGGTGGGGCTAGAACTCATGGACTCCTGCGTTGTAGCCTGGTGTCCTAATCACTAGATCAAACTGGCTCTCACTTTAGTGTAAGAATGACTAACTCTAAAGAATTATTCCCCCAGGGCAGGAATTTATTTTTGATAGATGATGGGCAGGTATCTACATTGTTACTGAGGATGCTGATGTAGGAGCTGAACAAGGATCACCTGGTAAAGCAGGAGAACTTTCTCCCGATTCCATAGATCAGCCAAAGGCCTTCCTACACCTAGGAAGTAAAGGGACAAGACTCTCAGATTCTCCTGCCATCTTCTAGCCCTAGCAGTCAAGTTACAAGGTGTGGCAGGAGGAGTCAAATTGCTAATGCCTGTAAGGTGTATTTCTCTCTCCTGTTAAATACAAGTCTAATGTTCTTCTAAACCAGTGCTAAACCCATGTTCTGGCTGCTTCTAAACATGGATTTAGCATCCTTTCAGAAGAGAGGTTTAAAGAAGCCCCAGTTACTCGTTGGCCTTACGGCTAAGATCAAGTGTGTACAGTAAAGTAGCCCAACGAGCAGCTGGCTGCAAGTGTGGTTGCTCCCACTCCACAGCCATTGCCTGACAGTTGTATTTCAAGTTAGTTTTAAACACAGGTTTTAACACTCTTCTAAAAGAGCCCGAAGTAGCTCAAACAGTACCTTTAAGAACAGGGGGATTGCTTGGTTAAATGGGAATTTGGCAGAGCTGATTGACAAATACCTGTGGTTCAAGAGAGGCAGCTCATTACCAATGAAGACTCTAATTTCAGAAGTATCAGCAAAAAGAGGAGGAATCACTCCAGCCAGATTTCCAAAACATGATCAGACCTGGCAGCTAAAGAGTAAACTTTCTCTGACAAGTACATAGTAGCAATAGCATTTAGACTTGTATACCGCTTCTTGGAGCTTTACAACCCTCTCTAAGTGGTTTACAGAGTCAGCATATTGCCTCCCATGATATGGGTCCCCATGCTTCTAAAACTCTCATATCTGTAACGTTTAACCAGATGAAATGGTACCTCGTAGATCAACACTTTTTCTACCAAGATACTTCAAGTGGGCTAACTTAGAGAATGTGTCCAAATCCTGGGACTCACGACTCCCATGGAACTGAAATTTGGCAAATTTTATGAAACATAACAAAAAACCATCATAAGGCATTTTATGACATAAAAGAAGATGCCATAAAACATTTCCTGTAAGTCAGCTGCTGATGTTTGACCATGCCATACAGTTCAACATGGACTACTTTCAAGGTAGATACATATCTGAATAGTCCTCTGAATTTTTAAGAATCCCCACC